CCGATGGCGGCTATGTGCTTGCGCCCATTACATCCATTCTTTTAACTGACAGTGTTACCTTACCACACACTGTTATTAAGCTACGTGCAAACCGCGCCTAGATTCCTGTGCTCAAATTTGCTTTGTGTCAACAAGTGCTCCCGCGTGAAATTGCCCTCGCCACGCTGACTCCCTCTGACGAATGCGTCTTCTCAGCTCTGTCTTCGAACGATGCTGGACTCTGTAGCTACACGCATGCTCGATCTTTGCAAGCAAGCCCGTTTGCTGACGTTAAAAAAAATGATCGCGTCAGACCTTTTGTCGCATCAAGCTGACGCACTTCTTCACGTCCTTGAGTCATACTGGGACGTATTTGACTTTTGTGATTGTTCACTAGATCAAACCACTGCTGTAAAGCACCGCATTGACACCGGCGATGCCTCCCCTGTCCATCGACGGCCATACCGCATAACTCCAACCGAGCGTCACATAATTCAAGCAGAATCGACAAAATGCTCGCCAAAGACATAATTGAGCCATCATGTAGTTCATGGGCTTCCCCTGTAGTTCTTGTCAAAAAGAAGGGCAACACTTGGCGATTCTGTGTTGACTACGGACATCGTAACAAGATTACTAAAAAGAACGTCTACCCGCTACCGCGCATAGACGACGCCCTGGATTGTCTTCACGACGCTAAGCATTTTTCGTCAATTGATTTAAGATCAGGGTACTGGCAGATTGCTGTCGACGACATGGATTGCAAAAAGACCACTTTTGTCACGCCCGATGGTCTTTACCAGTTTAAGGTCATGCCCTTCGGGTTATGCAACGCTCCGGCCACCTTCGAGCGGATGATGGACCCTCTTTTGCACGGGTTCAAATGATCAACTTGTCTATGTTTTCTTGACGACGTTATCGTCTTTTCTCCAACCTTTGATACCCGCCTCGACCGCCTATGCCCAATACTGGCTGTTTTTCGCAATGCTGGTCTCAAATTTAACTCGTCAAAGTGCCACTTTGGACGCCAGCAACTAACCATGTTGGGCCACGTTGTAGACTCCTCTGGTGTACGCGCGCATCCCGATAAAGTGCGAGCCGTGTGGAACTTCCCCATTCCGACCTGCACCAAGGAAGTCCGCAGCTTTCTCGGCCTGTGCTCGTACTTTCGACGTTTTGTGAACAACTATGCAGAAGTAGCCCGTCCTCTCATAAACTTACTGAGAAAAGATGTCTCATTCACATGGGGTGCTGCGCAGGCTACGGCATTGTCTACAATTATTGCATTGCTAACAGAACCACCTGCTCTGGCACATTTTGAAATTGCCACCCCTACAGAAGTCCGCACCGATACCAGTGGCCACGAAATTGGTTATGTCTTGGTCTAGCATCAAAGTGGCGGCGCCCGCGTTATCGCATATGCCAGCCATCTCCTCTCGCAGGCGAAAAGGAATTACTCAATCACCGAAAGGGAATGCGTTGCTCTCGTTTGGGCAGTAGCGAAATTTCGGCTTTATTCACACGGTCGACATTTTACCGTCACCATCGATCACCACGCACTTTGCTAGCTCACATCCTTGAAGGACCCCACTGGGCGCCTTGGTCGATGGGCATTACGACTCCAAAAGTATAAATACTCGATGTCCTACAAATCTGGCCGCTTACACTATGACGCTGACTGCTTATCTCGAAATCCAGCGGACTCACCTGAGGCGTTTGATGAAGCGCCATGTGTCCTGTCTATCTCGCTTTAAGCAACATCCGTAAGGAACAGCACCGAGACCCTGTCTTACGTAACATCATCGAGAAGCTTCATTCTGCGGCACCCGATCCGTCTACTCAACTGTTCGGGCTCAAGGATGGCACATTGTACAGTTACAACGACCGCCCTGATAGGAATGAGCTGCTCCTTGTGGTACCTTCCACTTACGTGCGAGCCTGATCGAACAGCTTCACGACGCTCCCACTGCCGGTCACCTCGGACTGTCTAGAACGTATGACCGTGTAGAGCGTTTTATTTACTGGCCCAGTCTTTATCGCTTGGTCCGCAGCTACGTCGCCTCATGCGACCAGTGTCCACGCCGAAAAAAATCTTCGGTGAGCTCTGCAAGGTTCCTCCAACCACTTGACGTTCCCTTTGATCCGTTCTTTCGACTTGGTCGTGACCTCCGAGGCCCTTTCCCTGCATCCACTTCTGGGAATAAGTGGATAGCTGTTGCGAAGGATCACTCAACCCGGTACGCAATTGCGCGGGCTCTACAAACCAGCTGTGCCATAGACGTAGCCGATTTTCTCCTGCACGACGTCATACTTCATCACGGCGCACCACGCCAACTCCTCGCAGATCGTGGGCACTATTTCCTTTCCCGAGTTATCGACGACCTGCTTCGCTCCAGCGAGACAAAACATAAATGTACGACAGCCTACCACCCGCAAACTAACGAACTGACTGAGTGATTCAACCGGACTTTAACCGATATGCTCGCCATGTATGTACGTATCGTGCGACCACCAGGACTGGGACGTTGCATTGCCTTTCGTTACGCTCGCCTATAATTCCTCACGCCACGATGCAGCTGGTTTTTCCCCTTTTATCTCGTGTTTGGCCGTGATCCAACTTTACCTTTTGACACCATCTTTCCGACAGCCGTCGACTCGACGACCGAATACGCCCGCGATGCTATCACCAGAGCTCGAAAAGCACGAGAAGTTGCCCGTCAGCGCCTCTTAGCATCGCAAGATCAGCAGCACAAGCGTTACAACTCCCATCATCGCCAAGTTTCCTTTACACCGGGTTCTCTTGTGCTATTGTGGACTCCGACCAGCGCTATGGACTTTCTGAAAAACTGCTTTCCCGCTACTCGGGACCCTACCGCGTATTGCGCCAGGTAACAGATGTGACCTGCGAGATAGCCCCCCTCAAGTCTCCCTCCTCTTCCTCTTCACTGTCTACAGACATTGTTCATATGTCTTGCCTTAAGCATTACCACTGAGAAACATCATAGAAAGCACTGAGGCGGTGCTTCAACACCCGGGGATTATGTAATGAGACAATGTCCCACAAAAGCAGTTAGATAGGCACGGAGAAAGACGGCGTGATTTAGGTGTAGAGGACAGCACTCATTTTCTATCTTGGCTTGCGCGTTGGCGCTGTGTAAATATATTTTCAAGCGCCTAGTTTCGCGTGTACCTTCACGTAACAATACCACTCTACACGTCTAGCTATTTCAAAGCCTACGTCTGGGTGCTCTCATGATCATTACCGTCACTTGGTGTAAAGGAATAATAATATGGGATGGTAAGATGTGACAAATACGAATCTTTCCTCATCACATGAATAATGCACAATTCCATCGCGTATTTTTTCAAACACTTTTTTGGTGACAGTGGCACAACCAGTGGCTAGGTGTGTGCCACATGTGATTGACACTTATCTACCCGCGGACAAAGAGAACACAGATGAGCAATTTGAACGTGGGAGGGTTAAGAAAAAGCTGACATTAGTGGCGTTCACGCACCAAAAGTAAAGGAAAAATGTGACGGTCCCAACAGTAGTCTTACCCTAGCATTATTCACGGCAATCAAGTAATATACATACAGGCATGCCAGGTCTCGCAACTTATTTTTCAAATGAACTGTAATAAATGTGAAGCATCAAGGGCAAGCTAATCGATTTTAAAAACAAAAAATGCATGCTCCTATGACAGAGCCATTTTTTGCAGTTAGGTTGAACTATAGAGTAAAGCGTAATGCAGTGAAAGCAATTGACAGTTTATATCAACCATGGAACAGCGTAAATAGACATTGGCAGTTTTATTTCGAGAGCGTTATGAAATTCAGTGCATTTATACAAAGTAAATAATCTCAAGAAGACGAAGCAATAGTAACTACGGCTGATATAGTGTACGTAAAAGTCGCCGACTAGCGGGAAGGACGGACGGTCAGATGGATCGACGGATGAATAGATGTGCGGATGGCCGGAGAGACAAACAGATCCATGGGCGGACGAACAGACTGACGGGGTGGGTGGTTACGTATTGAGCTGTCATATAGATGCGTACACATAAAGCCAGTAGTTTGCACACAAGTTTTCGTTTTTTTTAACATGTCTTCCGTTTCTGTTTTGGGTTGGTGGGACATGACGAATGCCAACTAGGTTGGCCTCAAGAAATTCAACCCTAAAAGGTATAATCGGCAGCGTTGACCCCACGATCGCATAAAAGAAATATCATGGTCCCAAGAAGAATCAGACCCCAGCCTTCTGCGTGGACACCAAGTATTTTACCACAGTGCCACACCAGCTATCGGACGTACTTTTAAAGTAGACTGTAATGTTCGTGAAACATCGAATGTGAATGCAGTGCTGGTTGTCCCATCGCAAAATCAAAATCATGCAGCCACCTTTCCTCGGCATGCTTAACATAGGATGTATTCTCAAGGTACGGGAATCTGCTCAATTTTTGGCGCTCTTTATAGGCCAACATGAATAAGAAAAGTGTCACACAACTATAATATCATGAGATTGGTGTGACACGAGACACACGCTGCACAAGACACAATGCATCCTTCTTGCTGCCTAAACAATGCAAATTGAACAGTAGCACGTTCAGAAAGTTTTAAAGCTTCATTCACAGCACTTCATCCAACTTTTAGCTGGAGGCTAGGCAACTGGGCTACATTCGCTGTTGCTGTTATGTTCTTGCGATTAGTAATGTTTCTAAACCCGAGCTTGATGCCTCCTACCCAGAAGACGACAAAGTCATTGGTTCCTCTTCTCTGGTTGTGTACCGTGGTTCATCCTCGTTGCTATCCTCAAGGTCCGGGATAAAGGTCTCACATGTTTGCAGGAAGTTCCCGTGACTTCGTCGCAAGGGCCACTTCTAGTCTTTCATGACTTCACAAGACCTGGGAAGTCTTGACGGTCTGAGTAATTTAGACTTGGTTATCTAGCCCCATTTTCAACGCAGACGATTTGTGGCCACCTAGACTGAGGGGCCTTATAATGTCTGCGCTGGGGCTTGTCGCTATTCCGGTGGTGTTGTACTGTGGAAAAAGACACCAAGTTAAAACGTGCCTTTGCTTTATGCATTTTTTTATAATTCCTCAGCTAACCCGTACTCCTTTCGTGGCCAAACTATTTGATTGTGGAAATCCTCAATGCAATTACACATGTCGATAGTTGAAAGCACCCAAAGGATCTGAAATTAGGACGCAAAGATGATCATGGTCACGATCGCTATGGACGTCCAATGGCAGGCCGTACGTAGAGATTATGCAACTTGTTGCTTAGGTAATCTACCTCGCTCATTGCCGTAAGAGAAGATATGTTACGAAAAAAGAACGCGCTGACGCACTCCAAGTGCTCGAATTGGCATTAGCGTGTGCTCGGAAAATTCTAAACTTGGTGTGAATGAAAGGAAAGCTATGGATGCAAAGCGGACATGTGCCACCTCTGTAGAGTATAGTGCCTCGAATGCATCCGTGTTTTCCGCGCGAAAGCAATAACAAAGAACAACATTTATTTCTACTAAGTGCTGTCCATAAAAAGGCGCTGCACGCACGCCGGAGATACCATTATTAGTGGTTGCTTTCTTAAGAGTCCGTACGCGTTTTCGCGCGTCTGAAAAGATCGCACGTTTTACGTGCTCCTCACGAAAAAAATGTCATCTTAGTCTGTAGGTGAGCGTGCGTCGCCCTCCAGCTATTCCGACCTGTGGGCGCAGGAGCATGTGTATAAAATTTTGTGCAGTGGGATCACATGAACGAGGCCGTCATTCGAAACGCAAGCCGAACTAAATACTTCGCGGAGGACTACAGGAGCAGTAGCTCCACCAACGTAGCCTCATCACCAATACATCGCCAGCTAATGTACCGGTGATGAGAGTGACGGGTGTTCGGGTCTGCTGCCTTACAAGCGGGCATCGCGAAGTGGCCGGCGAACTCGTTGGGTTCGTATTAAGAGCCCTCCGGAGCCCGAAATTCACGGCCAGAAATGACGAGCGTTTCGGTTGCAAGCTCCTTCAGAAGAAAGCCACCCAAAATAATCCCCGTAGTTTCACAGCGTCAGTGAAACGCCGCAACAGGTTGACGATCCGATGAAAGTATTAGACCTACGGGCCAAGTGTTCAGGCCAGTGGTAAAGCAGTCTCCTTCTGTAGAGGCCACAACCGAGTGAATACATCACGGGCAACAACTTCTGACTGAAATAATACGATGACCTGGTGAACATTGACCACTAACTAACCCAAGTGAGGCCAGCCCAACGCATTGCAGTTATTGTAAAACGGGAGTGCTAGGCTGTGAGTAGTGAGGAAAGTTTATTGTATGCTAGTAACAGCAGAGTATTCAAAAAAAAAGTTCACCGGTTTCAAGTACTTCGCACTACACTATGAGAGAGCAGTGAGTCGTCCCGATTTTTTTAATTAACAGTGTTTAGAAAAAGGCTTAACAATTTAGAGTACTTTGGGCTTCATTATAGGAGAGCATAGAGCCGTCCCGGGGGGTCTCACACTTGAAGAGGTCGTGCCACGGTGATCTCAGCCGTTAAGAGGCCGAGAAGCGATTATGTTTGGAAGAAGTGGTTAACGATTTACAGTACTTTGGATTGTACTATGGTAGAGCTCAAAGCCGTCCCACGGGCTTCAGCAGGTAGAACGATGCGCTGATTGAAGCGATTACACCAGCGAAAACCTTCAATATCTCATAGTCGCGGTGACCGGCTGCTTCCGGCCGTGCCTTGGGTTTGAGCATACGGGTCTCCGCACTTCTACAACCTTCTCCCAATGTTTTCTCAGCACATATAGCTTGGCATAGTATGAACCGCAGCATGAAGCATTACCCCTAAAAAGCAATGAAGCGTACATAATATCTTTATCTTTTACACTAACATTACAAATACGAAAATGCACACATTTTCTAGTAATTGAAAAGAGAAAAGGTATAACAAAACTCACTTTGATATATCATAACCGGTGCTAAACACTGCGGCCGCAAGTTTTGCTTTCGCTGGTCAATCATCTGTACGAGACGCTTCAGTATAGAGGGTATTTAGGCTCTCTCACATTTATACTCTCTCAGCAATCACGTGATGGCACAGCAGAACGTGCGACAACGCTCCTTCGTTGGACACCTCGTCACAGCAGTCGAGTCAGTCAAATGACTTCCACGCGAACGTGTTCTCCCGGTAGCCCTCCCACAGTCGGTGCACTCATGCAAGAAGCAACTTGCCCACATAGCGCTAAATTCCGAACAACACTTGTAAATATGCACAGACTTTCGCTAAACAAACTTTGGAATTGTCAATGTGTTCTCTAGGCTTTGAGTTTTTTGCTTGTATCATATTGAAGTGACTGCATTAGTTACACTTATGTATATTTCCAGCGCACCGTGTTGTTTCTCGTTGGATACATGTTAACTCTGCTGTACTATGAAGTATTTGTCCAGGTCTACCCAAATCCGTGACTTGTAGTCTGCATAGCCTCAGCAAATTGAAGGTGCGTCGAGGACATTTCGCTGCTTATGCCACTGCTGTTTAGGCACAAAGCGCTTCAAAAATTATTTTTTAGATGTGTAAATGCATACTCCTTCGAAATAGCGTATTTTCGCTCGAATGAGGTTGTTCCTTTGCATTCTATTGATTGTTGCCTGCCTGCCTTTCTATTTCGTTTCTCGCTCTCTAACTCATCTGTATATCAAGAAGCAGCATCGACAGCCGTCTGAAAAATCTTCGGCGAGGTCGCATGGACTACCGATTCGGTGACCATGGTGACGCCGATAAGCCGACGCGGGTGTAGCGAGAAGCTTATTGGACTATGATTAGGGTTGCCGAGGTATTTGTACGTGTCCGAGCAGTCAAAAGTTAGGTTGTCGTTAATGGCGTGACAAACGTATCGGTGCGTGCACGCCCCGTAGCCGCGCACAGTACTCGCATTAAGACCGAACCCCATAAGTGCAAAAACGCATGCGACAGTGTCGAGATGGGCGATGAAACAAGACGTTCGTGTAACGTGTCGCCTGGTCGTTTCTGCGCGATCGCTTGGTTTTTCGGATATTGAAATTGTCGCCCATTGCCTGGAAGTCTTGTGCTCAAGCAGCTAATTGCTAAGCACCGAATCAGGAGGTATGACAGTGACAAACTGTCGGTTGTCTCCACGTGCTGATGTGCTGTGGAACTACTAGCTGCTGTCCGCCCATGCAATGTGGGCACTACGAAGAAATAAATGTTTAGGCATGTGCATATAAAGAAGGGCTGCAAGACAATTAAAAACAATTTTGTTGCATTACAAAAGACAACACGTAGTTTTACGTAACACAACGCTAATTACGGAAAATTTTTGGGTACGAGCAGGCGGCCTCATGGCAGCAACAGTGGAGTTCGCTAGCCAATACCATCACCTGAAAAATATTTGACTGGGCAAGCGACTGTTTGCACGAGGGAGATCTACGAAGCGTCACTCGTCGCTGTTGCGTGCACTTTCGTGCATCAAAGGCTTGTCCTTTGAGCCATCCTATTTGAGCTTACAAACTTTCAGAACTTTATTTTAACACTCGAGCTGTTTGCCTGGGCTTTTTTCTGTGACGATTGAAAAGATATGATCGTAATTAGTCACAGACGCGCACTTTTTTGCCATCTTCTTGTTCATCACCTTTTGATTGACTCCCAGATCACGTGCGCCATTTTTTTTTAATATGGGATGCAATAACCCTGACGGGCAAGCGACCAAGCGTAGAGAGAAAAATCATATTTTCACTGAATCTCCAAAAGTGCTTCAGAGCAAGAGAACGTTCTCGATGTTTTTTCCCACTCGCGGAATTGTAAATTAGCGGTCAAGGTGATTCCACAGATACTCCCAAAACTTCTTTCTCGCAAGTTGCTACTTTTTATACGTCCACTACATTAGTCACGTAAAGGAGTCGACCGATAGGGAAAAATATTCATGTCACTTCGCTCACCTTACATAATTCCTAATGCTTCTCTCGCTACACGGCGAAAGCCGGAATTTTTTGAGTCCTCCATCTTCGTAACTCATGAGATACCCGTCTTTCCAGGGGCACTCGGGGGTATGATCATGCACCGCCCCTAACCTGCAAGAAAAGTAGGTGCGACAGGGCTAAAGCGAAATTGATATAAGAGTGGTTGTTGCTTGAAATTCTACTCACGTATGGCCAAGCTCATGGGCAATAGTGTTCACACCCAGGTACCCATGAGGTCTATCTTCTCCTTCGCTTAATCCAAGTTCAGTACAGACTGTGCCCACTTTTGCACGCCCTTGAAGTATAAAAAACAAGGATGCCTCACAAAACAGCACCAGCTATTCTACGAAGAAGTCTACAATGGCACAGAATTAAATGTATCATGCATTGATAACAAGACACTGGACTTGTCTCTCTCTGTGTGATCATGACAAGGAAAAGAAGAAAAAGTGCCACTAAAAGCTGTCTATCATTTAGATGACACCTCAACAGGTCGGCACAGTGGATGAGGTACTGGGAATAAAAGAGAATAAATTAGAAAAGGCAGGATAACAATAAAAACAAAAAATACGCTCGCAAATACGCACACGCACGCATTCCAATACACTCTATATTCTCTAGAGTTGCAGTAGTGCAGTTACGCAGCCTTCAAGAATAAGTACTGTTGCAGGTACGTTGGCTCGAACGATGCCTCATGTTCCAAAGCTTTTTTATCGCCTTAAAAGAACATTTTATTAGGAGCATTTACTTTTTTCGTAATACAAGAAGCATACTTTGCGAAACGAATATAACGCAGGTAATTTTGAAGAACAAATATTTTAGTAGTGTTTAAAATAGATGAGACCGCTTGTGTCATTATTTTACAGGTTTGCGCTAGAATTTGTGTGCAGCATCTTTATGCTGCCCGCCAAACCCACACCAATGGTTGAGAAAGGTAAGAATAAGAAACCGTAAAAAAGGCGTATGGATATTTATGAGGAGATACCTCGTAAAATGGTAAGTTTAATAAAGAGATGCGATCGAGTTCGCGTTTGTGAGAGGGTCTTAAGGTGCATTCAAGCTGCATATAGTGCCGCCTTTCGCCTGAAGAACGCCAAATGTTCACTCGAAATATGAATACATTTCTCATTAAGATTCTGAATCAACAAAAACGCAGGCTGAGAAAATGGTGATACTTAGTGCCAACAAACTACCGAAGGCGTGCTGCCTTCGCAGAATTTGGTGTTTGGAGCAGCTATTGTGAGTACCCTGGCAGCATGCTTTTGACACGCTCGTTAGCACATTTTTTTTCTGAAGGGGGCATTTCCTAAACATATGAACTGTTCCAGAAAAACCCCTAAATTAAATACTTGTTCTTCGCAAACCAACCTTCTTTATAAAAATTTCGGCGAATTAAGGGGTAAGACCAGTAACCTCGTCTGACTGTAGTAGGCCTCCCTGCGAAATTCGACACCACATCTAGGTTGAAATAGTTGACTGCATCTTGTCTAGCGTTGATACATGGTCGGAACACTTTAATTGCGTTAGCAAACAAACAATTGTGACACTAAGATTTGGACCACGTGTTCCGCTTGGGGATGTACCGAACAGAAAGACTAGAAAATAGTTTGATACTTGCAGTCTATAGTGACAAAACTACCTTTGCTTTTTATGAAACAGCAACTTTATGTACGGAGCACTTTATGGGCCTGGCTTCTAATTCATCTATACATATCCTGCAGAATGATCACGCTCACAGTAACGCACTGACGACATGCCATAGTATAAGTATGAGGGCTGAAAGCCAGGTTAAAATCAAGGAAGACGATCTAAAATAATGCATTTACAGAAATATTCAAGACATCATCGCATACATTAACATAAAGTCGCTGAAACGTCTCGCAAACATAGTTCTGGCTTCAGCGATGCGTGAGAAAGGGCACTACTGCTTCGCCGAGTCAAGAAAGAGCCTTTTTTTGCACCACTTCTGCGTCAGGACTGCTCTCCCCGCAACTGGCTACATCCGATGAGAGAGAAAAACTTGACTAAAGGCAGTACAGCGCAGCCAAAAAACAGCGCAATTATCAAACACTTAGTGTGCGAATGTGCCTACCAAGATTCCATTCCTGCTGAAGAAACCCTGCAAGCTTACCTAAAACTTTGACGTCATTGACGCTTTGGTAAATAGGGGCGTGGAGACCCTATGAACGGACATCACAGTGTGTCCATGTCAAACACTTTCTCAAGTTTCCCAGTAAAATAGCTGTCACACCTTCTTTTTACTTCTCGTTTTCGCTCTGCTTCATAAGGTGTTCGGCTTGAGTTCTGAGATGATCCACAAACAAGAGAACTTCATTGCTGATTTTATTTCAAAAGTGGAACCTCTTTTAACTAGCAGATCCCGAGCCTCCATAGTCGGTCATCGCGCAACTGGTGATGCTTCAACCGACAAGACAATGAGGGCAATTGAATGAAAAGACGTCACAGCGTTGAGGGGAAAACCTTCATTTTGGGATGAAAAGTGTAGATGCAATATATTCTCCCACGAAAACGATGGCAGCACTTAACGGAATAGAGAATCATCACGTGCATTATTACAGGAGCACAGATAGATGACATTAGACGTACTGTATATCAGGCGTTGGGTACAGCTCGATGAATACAGTATAATTAAAGAGGTCATCAAGATATGCGGAATGCTAGGAATAAGTATAGTGTGCATCTCATACAACTGCACAAACTTCGCATGTTCCCATGCTTGTAAATATTCAGGAAATGCCAGCAGGTGTAGACAGCGGAGCATTGGTAGCTTTTTCAATGAAACTATTCGGTGAAATTAAATATTTGGAACCTACAGGCAGTTGAGTGGAGGAAAGTGTCGGCGACGTTTGTTCTGATTATTATGTATATTTCAGGCATATGAAATTGACGAATAGATAACTACACCCCAGCAGGCACCGCACCTACCACTTTTCAATAATGCGCGCGATGGTGCACCACCAGAGCTGTAGTGGCAATCATCCAACCAGATGCACTATCGGTATACATGTGCATATTAACTTTTTAGTCTCAATGAACACTGCTTCTTACCATGAAGGCGATATATAGTAGAACATTTATTAACCTGCTAGAGTCACCTAGCTCGTCATCTCTTTATTAGTCGTAAGTTGACTGAAGGTTAGAGGTTGCAGGTTCGGAAGTTACAGATTCGATTCCTGCAGGCGCCAAGGTCCTCTTTCTTACGCTTTAATTTTTTCTCGGTTATATCATAAGTATTACAAATAACACTTTTTATTCCTACATAGAAACAAGCTTACCCGCGTATTCTAGAACGTCCCTTCACTCAACGCTTCCCCTTGACTTGAGAAAATTGATTGCAGCGCCGCCTCTAGGCAGAGCAAGTCACCCAATATCAGGGATAATCTGCAGTGATTCTCCAAAAACGCAGCGTCATTTTTAGACAAGTGGCGGTGCTGTGCTCAGCTCGCTCAGGTGAAGAACGAGATTCGAGTCGAGAAGCTTTCGTGAATACGGGGGTTAGAGTTTTCAAAGTTGAGAAACGCTAACGTTCTACTCAGCAGTAACAGGTTTACAACTAAGCGTTTAATGTATAACATATGCGGACCAGGCAGAATAGTGGTTAGCGTAAGCGTAGCATCTTAAGATCAAACGTTTTTTTTTATTTATAATAGCCTAACTGTTCAGTGCAAGAACTCTGACAAAATGGTCATGACATCACTACCCAACGGACCGTGTGTCCCTAGCAATGTTAAATTTTCATTTCAAGCATTACATCTTTTTGCGCACTGGACAGCTGGTAGAAGAATTGATGAAACTATAAATTTATATGGTTAAGCTGAAAATTTAATTGTCAGAATCAATGGCTTAAAAGATCTTACGATTGTACACATGCCTAGTGTACTACACTATAATAAGCTGAGTTGTGTCGCCGTGCCATTGTCACACCATTACACTCGCCAGAGCAGTATGTTGCACTGTTGCAGTCCAACCACGCGCTTCATGTTCAGCGGCGACAACGCAGTAGGGCAGCAGGCACTTCTAGAGCATGTTGAAAAGCGTGTCTAGAGCTCAATAAAAGCTTTCTGCGGTTTATAATACAAGTCCGCTTACAAAGTAACTATAGCAGTAATCCATGAACAATATTATTGTCGAGTCAGGAAGCCCCTTTTATGGCATTATTCTTTATTCCGCACAAAGACCGTTCGCAGTGACTTAGGAGGATGAAGAACATAGAGTCGCTCATTTCTAATAGGGTTACAAGCATTCAGTAATCCACATGTTATGCAATTCGTACTGTTTGAACGTTGGTTATAGGATTCGCATTTTTGACGCGTGGTTGCTATTTTACACTTATACCGCTCTATATATAACACACGTGAAGGCAGTTCTTTCCCGTCATAACTTTATAGGATCCTTTGACAGATGAGTTTCTACCGCAACTCTGTGCAATACAGTGTACTACTTCAACACGCATTTCAATATATACGATGAAGAAAAGAAACGCCAGGTTTGCTTGGAAGGCGCAGCACACTCACAGCGAAAGCTAGAAGACCAGCCTTTCAGAGCCTTTTCTAAACACTCATTGGGTAACTGCTGCAAGCACGCTCGCTTTATGCCCACTACGTGATTAATAATAAAAATTTTAGGGTAGTAGGCCGGCATTCAAAATGCTATTTTTTGTCACTCTTCTCAGAAACGTGGTATCCGGTAAACTATAGCGAGCAATTTCGTGCCAATTTTTTATGCAGTGGCTGACGACAATAAGGAATTATGCCTGAATTGGCTACGCGTGACAGTTAATAGCTGAACGAAAACAATATTTTTTTATGGATTAGGTTTAGACGACCCACTCGTTAAGCTCTCCGCGTTGTGCGAACGCTGCTTGTTCTTTCGCTGTTTTAAAACGCTTTATATGTCGTATTAACGCAGTTGCTTTCTCGACATCAAGCCTGCCTAAGGCAAGTTTGCTAAGAATCCCCAAGCACCGGCATTGCTAAGTGACAGAATACTGGGCTGGCACCCAGCAGACCCAGGTTCTAGTCCCACCGTGTTATAGGTTCTAGGTTTTTTTTTCTTATTTCGCGGGGTGTGGTTACGGACAATGGCGATGGCGGCGGCGGACAACTATGGCGCTTAGCGAGACCCGAGTTGTGATCTTATAACAACTTTCGCTCTAAATAGGACGGCATGGCTTTTTGGCAGAATACTGGGCTGTGGGCTGGAGAACAAAGATTGAAGCTGTGCTTCGTCTCGAAAATTTCTCGGAATTTTTTCTGGGTGATGGCGGTTACGGACACCAGCGGCGGCGGAAACTACGGCGTCAAAAATAGCCCTTCTTGGAATCTCACAAGTGCTTTTGCTGTAAAACAAACCTTGTGATGTCATGACAGCTTTCGGTGTGTAAAATATTACTGGTGACAACTAAAATCGCCACTGCGATGGTTTAGCCAACATGTACTTGTGTTTTCAACTCGTGCGAATCTGGCGGCGCCTGTAAATAGTTTCAGCATCGATGGCCGAAAATTCACGGTCTTCTCGGCATTGGCGCCTAGCTTCCGGTTCGGTAGCGCATGCAGCAGTATACTCAATGGCGCCACGGCATGATGCTGCTGCTTGAACAGCCTTCACCAGCAACAGCGAAGCCTGCGAATACTATGACTTCATCTACAGTTCTCGCGAGGCTTTCCTCTTCAAAGTTGTGCCGTTCAATTTGGGTTCCCCATTCGTTTATACGTTTCGCTGTATTTGTTTGGTTCCTTACGCACACGTATCAGACAAACTGACCTCTAAGGCTGTGCTGTAAAAAAAATTCTAGTTCACTGACAGCCATTCGAATGTCGAGCTGGAAGTATGCGCCTGTGTAGCGGGAAAAAAATTGTAATAATAAAATCGCACGCAGAGGTCGTAAAGGCATTGTAGTTTCTTGTAAAAGAAGAGCACTTGCTTTTTTTGTCCACTTGAGCGGCCTGTATGGAGCACTTTGCTCACACCGAGGCTGACTGAGCTACATTTAGGTGTCACCAAACTGTTCTGACAGTTTTATGACAATCTTGTCACTATAGTTGTTCATATAAAAATCGCGATTGCCGAGGAAAAATATGGACATCGTATAGTATAGTGCACGTAAATTTCTTATAAGATGAGTATTTTACAATATTGCCGCTCCTCTAAAGTTGTTTATTTTGTGATAGCCCTACAATGTAGAAGAAAAAAAATACTTCGGTGAAAATGAAGTACGAAAAAGTAGTACAAGAAATTGAATATATGAATATAGTTAATGCATTTCGAAAGTAACTCCTTTCATTTATTTCTGAAAGTGTAACTTTTCATACCCTGCTTAAAAAACACATATTTTCAGTTTTGAGTGACCGTAAAGAAATTCTAGATTCTATGAAACAATGTACTTACCACGAATGCCATTGTATCTTTTTCCTTTGGCGAGCCATTTTGAAATGTCATACCTGAAATGTTATATCAAGATTTGTTGAAAAAATGTTGTGATCACGGACTTATATGCTGGCACTCGACAGCCGCTATTTTTAACACGAAAGGGTTTTACGGCGGGATCCACTCAGACTTTAGTTACATATTTCAGTCATGCAAATAACGTTTAGAAAAATTCCACGGATCCCACGTAACTAGGAATCATTGTTATGCGAAGCATGCAGAGGAAAGGAGACCATGTTGCAATTTTTTTATTCAGTGACACGCCATGAAAAGATGCTAACTATATGTACAAGTGTTGCACGCACAGACATATGTCGAAGAGTTGCAGATGTTTATATAACCAGTTGTTTGCACTTGCGCTACGATGCCAACTGGAACATACGTTTTAGAAACACCAGAAGCTAATATGAAGCACTGATGATCGCTAGGATGCTGGCCTTGGACACTGCTACATAAATAAACTTCAGCGCATGGCTACTGACCACAATTGAAGTTAACCTGACGTGACGACTGTATGAGAGGAGTACATATGTAATGTTTATAAAAATAAGCAGGCAGCACTGCAACTATTATTCACGCATCACGAAGATCGGCGTTTATTTGAAAAGTAGTTCCGAGACATGGCGTGGCTCTGTGGTAAAATGCTTGATTGCCCCGCCGAATGCTTGAGTTCGCCCTTGTTTACGTCGACGACTTCGTGCTCTCCGATGGAACCGCTGCCGCTGCCTGCTTCGCGCCACCTATCGGAGCAGTGCGCAAGTGCCAACTCTCCTACCCCGCCCCCTCGATGGTCGCTGAACTCACCGCTAACAATTTAGCGGTGGAGCTCCTCGAACAATCGGCTCTCAACAATGCGGCTATCATCGGCGATTCTCGCGCCACCTTGGCTGCCCTCTCCCGCGAAGAATACGGCTGCACTCTCGCCCAAAAATCACTCGTCAACTCTACGTCCTAAAACCTCGCGGCATCCACATCTCTCTCCACTGGGTCCCTTCATATGTGGGGATTCCGGGCAACGAGGCTGCTGACCTTGCAGCAAAGGAGGTTCACGACCCCTCAACGGAGGTCACCACCTTTGTCGTTCGCCTCCAAGTCGCCCGACATATTCGTGGCCGAAACCCTAATCCTCGTGTCATGGCAGGCTATCCGCCAAGACGCCTCACACTGAAAGGCCTCTTTCGTGCCAATCTTTGGCTCCTACTACGGCTTCGCATTGACTTTCACCGTGAAGCTGAGCGAATGCACCGACTCATTGGTCGTGGCTGCACCTACTGCACCAACTGCGGGGACGTTGAATCTCTCGAGCACCTCCTCCTACATTGCCCCGCCGGTGATACAAGCAGGAACGGCATGCTCGTGGTGTATTCCCGACCTGGGCTCTCCCGGGCCAACTCAAGTCAACTCATTTTCTCTGCTGGCAAACGGGATTCTGTCAGGCGTGCCATCTCTGCGTTTCTTGACTACCTGGAGGACAGTGGACTCGGAGAACGCATCTAAACTTTTACTTTATTTTTTCTCTTTCTCTATTTTTTACTCTATCTCCTCTTACCACTACTTCTTTGTGTCCAATTGCCCCCCCCCCCCCACGTACACTACTGCTGAGGTGTCTTCCCCCTGAGAGAAAGTTTAGGGGCACACTTATCTCTTCATTTCTTCTTCGAAATCCTCCCCCCCCTCCCGATTCCAGCTGGGACCCTGATTTGATTGATATGTGAGGCTTAGCGTCCCAAAACCACCATATGATTATGAGAGACGCCGTAGTGGAGGGCTCCGGAAAATTAGACCACCTGGGGTTCTTTAACGTGCACCCAAATCTGAGTACACGGGCCTACAACACCAGCTGAGACCCTGACATTTACTCTTTGCATTCGTCGGGTCGACACTACCAACATCGGGTATTGCTTAACGCTCACGCGTTAAAACTGCACATGTGTGTTCGCGATGTTCCCGGGTAGATGCTGTCAATTACCTGTGGCACATACCCGCACACCAGCGGCACATACGCAACCCTGGGTATGTGCCACTGTCTGGCGGGAAGTGTTCGACGACGAACGCGACAGGATTGTAACATTATTACAATGCCATCACGCTTTGGCGTCCATGCGTCCATCCGTTCGTGCAGCCATCCGTGCGTTCGTCCATGAATCTGTCTGTATGTCCTTTCGTCCATCTGGTAAACACTCCAAGTACCACCATCTCGCATCTTTTCATCTTTTTTTATTGAAATATAAAATAAACGAAGGAGTTTTTGTCACCGTTACTTGGCAACGGCTACCCCTTTCCACATAAGTGGTACAAATAAAAATATAAAAACAATAACATGCATACATATATACAGTCCTACTTGGGTGAGAGCAAAAGTTCTCCTATATGGGCAGAACAAACACGTAGACGACACGCTCACTTTTACCTTTTGCCCGCTCAGTACTCGTGACAAATCTTAGTTTCTTCAAAGAACTGTTGCAGCACCTTCACTGCTTTGCCGTTTGTTTTGGATGGCCATGGACCTAGTATTTTATTCAACCTGAATGGTCGCTCAGGATCTAACCTATGCAGTTCTTCTAGTCGCCTTCGGTGTGTGTCGTGTTTCGGACAGTCGAGCAAGAGGTGACAGATATCCTTGTCATCGTGGCCGCATGAACATGCTGACGATGTTGCACGATGAATACGAAGTAGGAAGTGCTTTCTGTAAACAGTTTCGAGTAGTAGGGGATGAATGAGTGTGTCGATAAATCTTGGGAGGTCACGGTCTAATTGGTATTCAAGGTTAGGATCAACAGAATATAGGATCAATTCCTTCGTTTTGTCTGTGAACAAGCTAGACAGGCATATTCACGTTTTGTTGTTCTTAAAATTCTATTTACACCATATTGACACACTGAAATTAGGCACGTTTGCGTAGAATTATGAGCGGTTTTTGCCAACTCATCCGCCGTTTTATTTCCCTTAATTCCGCAGTGACTGGGGCCCACTAAAATGCCACTCGATGATTCGACTTCGTAGCTTCTGAGAGCTCTTTTAGCATAGCGTATACTATACACACATCAATGTGTCTGAAGTGGCACTTTCCACACATGCCAGTGCTGCCAGAGAATCTGTAATTGCCAGACATTTTCTTCGTGTCGTTGACAGTTTGATAAAGCTTAGGGCTAGCAAAATCGCTATGAGCTTCGACGTTGTTGAAGAAGAGAGGTGGCCCAATCGACATGCATATTCTTCGTGCAGTTCCAGAATTATGAATGCTGATGTCGCTGTCTGTTTGTTGACGAGCCGTCAGTGTACACGTGAGTGTATCCTTGGTACCTGTCAAACAGATGTTGTAATGCCAACTGCTGAGCGGCAACGGTTGGTACTTAGTGTTTGCTGCGAAGTCCTTCTATTGACGTTTCAATAGTTGGTAGCTCAAGCAGCCATGGAGGGTAGTTTTTGTCCAGTGGCCAATGTGTCGACACAGGACGCCGGGAAATGTACTGTTCGTACACGTGGTGTATTTGCGCTCCAGCATGGTTCACGATTTCGGATATGAGCGGATGGGAAGGGTGTTGCGTGACTAGACTAAAGAGGTGCCGACATGTCTCCACATTTCAAATTACTATAAAGTTCGGTTTTCTTGCCTCTGCTAGTGTCAAAGAACTTGATGTAGCCTGTGGAACCCCCAGATATATGCGTAAGCTTCGTGCTTGTAACAGCTGAAGTCGGTGTAGCAACGTCTGAGAGATGTGTTGGAGAACTGGTGCAGAGTAGGCAATTTTCTGTCAGATTAGTGCACAATGAACGTGGAGGAGAGACGCTGATGTATCGCCCCATTTTGTTCCTGCGATGCGACGTATAACATTTATGGTGCTGTTCACTTGATTTTATAGATCAGCAATATGCAGTCTCCCTCTGAGTTGGCTATCTAATTTCCCAGCCATCCACAAAAAGCTTCAAGTTTTTTCACTCTTTTTCTCGTGAATGGCAGAACTACAGATTTGGCGTGATAAGTCTGCATGCCTCGCACTTTCAGGAAATCACTTATTGCGTCTAGCCCTAGTTGAAGCCGATGTTAGATCATTTCCAGTTATTTATGAGACATCCAAATGCATATGTCGTCTGCATACATGGATATGTCAAAGGCTTCGGGCAGTACTTCCGAAAGACCTGTCGTTGCATCATTGAAAAGAAGCGGACTTAGAACGCTTCCTTCGGGTACACCTCTGCTCATGGTGAAGCGATCGCTGTCTCCGTTATTGGTTGATATATATATTTGTCTGTTACATAGGAAATTGGCGATCCATTGAAGGATACGACCGTGAACCCCTAGTGAGGTAAGCCCGTGCAGAACAGAATGGTGGCTCACAGAGTCGAACGCCTTCTTAATATCTATGAATACCGCAGCAGCCATGTTTCCACTGCTCAACTCATGTTCTACTAATGTAACGAGGTTGAAGACGCAGTCCATGGTGCATCGCCGTCGTCTGAAGCCAGTCATCTGTTCCGGAAGTGAGTTGTTAGCTTCATTCCACCACTGTAATCTTCTGTCAACAATTTTTCCATCACTTTAGATACACAGCTAGTGAGGCTGACTGGTCGGAATGAGTCAAGCTAAAGCGGTGATTTACCGTGTTTCAGTAGTGGTACGATTCTCGCGACCTTCCAACACATTGGAAAGTACGCCTTCGTCCACATGTCGTTATATATCCGTAGAAGAACTGGCATGCTGTTGGGCCCTAGATTTTTCAGAACACTGTACGATACGTTGTCGGGACCAGTTGCCGTTCTTACGCGGGTTAGTGATAGAGCAGTACGCAACTATAGTAAAGAATACGTGTTATCCCGTTGAGCATGTGATAAAGTGCATGCATCTTGGATTTGCTGCTCTACAGAACTAGGCAGTGCAGTAGTGTTGCCAACCGATTGCCCAGTTCCAGTCAGCATTGTGCATAACTTATTTTAAACATCACGTTTAGATAATCCAAGAGATATGGCCAATGCTCTGAATGGGTTTCGCTGGGATTGGATGACTTAGAGCAGTGATCGTTAGCCAGATTTTTGGAAGTGGAGTAAATGAGGTCAATGAATTCCAGACATCATGCCATTTTTTCCGACCTAACTTTTGCATGTATTGGTTAGATTGGATGTGTGTGGCCTGACTCTAATAATCTTCAAGCCTTCCAGTGCGGCGATAGCGACGTTCTGCTCACCTTTTAATGGCTCGTAGGCGCTCATAGTCTGCATCTACACTGGAGTGGCCTGCTGGGACAGCTGTAAACCTTGTCGCACGGGAGTAACTTCTTTTAATGCAGGACATAAATGTATGCAATTCATTTACTCCCATCAAGTCACGTCCAGCATGTTCATGAAATAGTTTCCAGTCAGTTAGCTTTGAAATCAATCTCGTCGTTTGCACTTGCATTCTCGGGTGTTGCATAAGAACTGCATAATGATCACTCCCTCGTGTATCGAGGTCTCTACACAAGTTCATATCTCGTGCAATGTCAGGAGAGGCTATAGCCAAATCTAGACAGCTGGCATAATTATTACCTCTTAAAAGCGTTACTAATACACATTTCAGTACAACAAGACCACATCGAACAATTGCTATTTGGAGTGTTCTCCCACGTGAATCGGTATGAGTACTCCCCCACGTGGTATTGTGCGCATTGATATCTCTACAGATGAGGGTAGGTCCCTGGGCTTTACCCAATAAATGAACCAGAGATGATTCTGAGATGCATGTCGATGGTTGCAAATAAACACAAATGACGGTGATGGTAAGTTTCTGGAATTGAATTTAGCACCCTACAAATTCTCGCACGCCCGAGTCTGACGAGTATAAAACAAAAGAGGGTATGCCGTGCCGTACGCATAACAGTGCCCTGCTTAAGCCTGGATTTCTTTTTGATGCATATGTGACGTAGTTAGAAATACTAAAGTCAGGGCCAACGTTGGTTTCATTTATACAAAGAACAAGGAAGCTCTACTGAGCAACCAGCTTCCTAATGTCTGCGCTTTTGGACCTAATTCTATTGGCATTCCACTGAAACACAGCTGCACTGCGGAAACAGTTTTTTATTTGTAGAGCCATTTTGCTATACAACATTTTTTTGTTGTACTGCTAGAGGCTCTAATGAAAAGACTGCGCTAACTTCTGGTAGGTCATTGACCTGTGGAAATACATGCAGGATTGCCTTCGAAGCAAAAAAGAGCATCGACGTAACCATATCCACATCACTTGTTTTCGGGGCACGTTGCTGTTGTGCCTTAGGATTTGGCTAGGTGAAAGGTGTAGACGCTTGGTTATTCCGAAGTGCTGACGGTTTCGGTGTCCTGCTGTTGATTGTTTGCCTTTGAACGCTTAGTGATCGTCCTCTACTGTCCATTTTGGCTGTACTTTTGTTTTTCTGAGCTGAAGCACGCTTGGCTACCACCACATACGACAGTGTCGTGGTGGTGTACTCTTTTGTGATTTTGAAGTCACAGGGAGTGGATGCACAGTTTCAGGATTCGGACAAGCCGATTCCCTTTTTGGAGCTCTTCCAAGCAAAATTTCTTGTCGCTTTGGTCGAGTAGCTGCCTGGTGTTTCGGACAACCAGCATATGACGCTACGTTGTCTCCATTGCAATTGGCACATTTGGGATGATTACTCGATGTACATTATTTGTAATCTTGTGCTCCTGCACATATTTTGCAGCGAAAATGTCCATGGCAAGATTTGACAACATGTCCATATCGTTGACACTTGTAACATCGTGTAGCGGGCTGTAGGTACTCTTCTACCGGATGACTTGTGAAGCCTAGGAGAATACGGATCTTTTCATCATATATGCGCCCGTCTGTGTGACCACCTGTGCGTCCATCAGCCCATCCGTGCGTGCACCTGTTCGTGCATCCAGACGTCCATTCGTGCGTCCGTCCTTGCGCTCGTCCATCCATCCGCCCCTCCGTCCATCCATGCGTCCATCAGACCATGCAGGCCTCCGTGCGTTCATCCATGCATCTGCCTTTGTGTCCGTTCGTCCATCTAGTCAACACTCCAAGTACCACCATCTCGCATCTTTTAATCATATATTCCGCATATAGAAGCACCATCATCCAGCAGACATTCCAAGGACTGAGCGAGAGGTGGCACATGCACACTTTCTTACGACTTGCACTTCTTGACTACTTCCCCCCTTTGACCACCTCGAGTTCATGGTATACTAGTTCACTGTAATCATGGTACTGTGGCCCAACGCTCGCTAGACCTTTCTAAATACAACGAGGTTACACCCTGCGAGTATAACGTAGCAACCCTTTTTTGTCGGATAGTGCTCAATGTACATACTAATGGCTGCTAATTGGGAATGAGAGACAGAAAATTTCGGCCTTAGTTATAGTGCAGGCTGCGAATTTTTCATTGTTCAACAACGCACAGAAGGATTCTCCCACCGGCACCACATTGCAGGTGGAAGCGTAAGACTGGTTACCCACTATGACGAGGGACGAACGGGTGTCGCTTTAAGAAGCGTCGCCCCTAAAGTCACAGCATGATGACGAGTGAGGCGACACTTCGAAGGGTTTTATTGGCAAACCTTGAATCATCCACGGGCCGCGTCTGTCTGTCTGTCTGCCTGCCTGCCTGCCTGCCTGCCTGCCTGCCTGCCTGTCTGTCTGTCTGTCTGTCTGTCTGTCTGTCTGTCTGTCTGTCTGTCTGTCTGTCTATTTGTCCGTGCGTCGGTCCATGCGTCTGCATGCATGCCGTTCATCTGTCTGTCCATCCGCCCATCGGTCATGCGTCTGTCTTTCTGTCTGTCTGTCTGTTTGTATGTATGTGTCCATCAGTGCGTTGGTTCGTCTCTCATCCGTCATTAGTCTGTCTGTCTGTCTTTATATACGTTGGTCTGTCCGGCGTCTGTCAGCATGTCCACCTGTCTCTATGTCTGTCCATCCGTCCATCCGCCCGTCCATCTAGTGAACACTCATAGTACCGCCGTATCGCATCTTCATATATTCATATTATACATGTACTGCCATCCAGCGAACATTCCAAGGGCTAAAACGAGTTGTGGCTACTACATACAGGAGACGCACTACTCACGCCTTGAGGAACTCAGCCCCTTAAACGTGGCGAGCAGTGAACCTTGCCTCACCGCTGCTAAACAAGTAAGCTGCCTGGTGGATAAGCCAGAGGCTGATGCGCCATTGGTATCGAGGACATGACATTTCACTTATCGGGTTTTAGGGGCGAACGCTTTAGGCCGTGCGTCGTGCATCTGCGATGTATGTAGTAGTAATAGTCGTTATCGTAGTAGTAATAGGTAGCCACCTCGCGTTAAGTACTTGGAAAGTCCTCTGGAAGGTGTTACTTTTATATTATGAATCTATCATTATAAGATGTGATATGACGGTACTTCAAGTGTACATTAGTTAGACAGATGTATGTATGTACACACACGTAAGCAGACGAACGGACATACAGACAGCTGCATGAACGGACAGATGGATGGACGAACAGATGGACGCACAGACGGATGCACGGATGGATGCATAGACAGATGCACGCGTGGACGCATGGACGGACGGATAGGCGGATGGCCGGACGCAGAGATGGACGGCGCGCAGACGGACGCTCCAACGGACGCACGGGCGGACAGTGAGACGGGCGCACGCATGGTCGCACGTACGAAAGGAGGGACGGGTGGAAGCAAGAACAAACGGAGGGATGAAAGCGTGCACGGACTGGCCGACGCTTTGCCCCACTCGTCATCATTCACTTTGTCGATATGCTGTAGTTTTTTAGTGCCATGGCCATGTACTCTTGGTTTTATTTTTTTTTGCGGTCACGTAGTGCATGCCCATCAAAACAAGACTTGCAAGATTCTTATTGCCGCCAAACTGGGCCGTCAATTGTCTGTGTGGTTTAATTGCGCAAGGCATGTAAACCATTAGGTATTGTAAAGCATGGCAGAATGAACACTACATAAATGTATACCATCGCACACTACAATCTCGCAGACTTCGGAATTGTATTTCGCGTAGAATTTCGGCGTCGATGTCTTTTGCTCCACATCGTAAACGTTATTACCGAAGTTTTCTGCTTTGATACATTCGCTTTTTTAGATGCCAGTCCAGCTGTGCGATCTTTTTTGAAGCTGCACATTGTACTGTATGTACACGTGCACCGAAGCTCCACACGTCCACTGAAGTGAATGGCAGCGCGACGGAAAGAAGAAACGCCCGAAGTGTTTTCCCAGGTAATTTTTTCTGCCTTAAAGTTATAAAGATGTACAAAACAAAATAGACGTTTACTTACCCACTGATGAGGTACACCACATCATGGTGCCCATGTATCCTTCCTTGACTTTTGTAAAGCTTTAGTCCATCTATCATTTCTCCAGCATCAATATAACGGCCATCAATTCGCGCGAACTGATAGTCCTATTAGAAAAAAAAAGCAATTGAATGGTATGTGATCTTAGCCCTGCACCGCGAAATCTGATGTGTTACTGCAGTGGTTCTCACATCGGGGTCATCAAAGGTAACTTTAAGAGCCCGCACAACACATCCTCGGAAACCGAACACTTTTAGCTGGAGCACGTGAAAGCCGATTTTAATTCTAAGCATGCTTCAACACATGAAATGTTTATCATCACGGCGGAGTAACTTGAATGCAAACGTTTGTCAGTTTTCCGCGAGATATCTTTGCTTGGGCTTGTTGGAAAGAATTGGTAGTATGCCACTAGCATGAGGACAAATCGAAATGAAAGATGATGACGCACTGCACTGTCTCACAAGAGAGATTTATTTGCACAGCTGTTTAATGCTCCTAAAGTCATGAGGGTAAAAGGCATATTTCGTTATCCTTGTCTTCGGTTTTCCCTTTGCTTGTGAAGTGAGTTTTTTCATATGGATCGCGGAAATAAGCAATTATCTTTTGTCATTTTTCAGTTTGATGGTACTCACCTTTGGCCTGCATACAGTGTCATTGCGCTCTTTTCCCCCTTGATTCTGCATTTACCCTCCTAATTTTGAGCGCATGAAACGTACGCAGCGATAACAATAGGTTGTAACAGCGCATTGCACCGTTCTCTTTTTTCCCCGGGTGTCCTACTGCTCAAAGTATACGGGATGATAAGTAAGAAAGCAGGGTGTTTTAGGCTTGTTTACTTGAAGAGCAGTCATAGCTTGAAACTGGATGAATGTGGCTGGATATCACACAACATGTTGACAAGAATCTCAGGCCTATCTGGCATGACAATTCATTCTCATCATTCTTTGCCAGGAAGAACTAAGAAGCGCCTAATTTACGCTCTATCCTGTTAATTATTTCCACAATTCCTTTTTTTTCTCTCTCACTGCAGATGGTATACTTCATGACAATCACCAGTCCACAAGTAGTTTCCAGAAATATACGGTTTTTGTCGGTCAATTGCAGCACCTGGCCTATCTTAGCATATTTAATTGTGACAAAGTGTTTTGGTCACGTTTATCTGATGTATTTTGTCGCGAGCAAAACAAGATCTGCAGCCAGGAGTTCACCTGAACGCGAGCAACGAAAATGTTCTCTTCCTCTTCGCAGCCCAAAACCAGTATGAGCCACGGCGGCTCATTCATCAATGGTGGCATTACCCCCTCTCTCAAGTAGCATCGTCTCGATGCTGTACATGAAGGCAAAAAAAAGAAAATGAGATAAAAATTACCATGCAAGCAAAATGAATGGCGTAAGGCGGAATAGCATAGTTGGTTGTGGAGCCAAGAGGTAAATGAGAAATAAGAAACATAGGAATGAATGTAAGGGAGAGACGATATTAGACCCAAAAATGCTCATAACAACCAGATCGCTACAGTTGATTCATTTAAATGCCTCAATGGGAACATCTCACGCCTGCTATTTTGAAGCTCTCGTAGTGATCACATGACGAATTCTGCTAATCATATTATTATCTAGATTGTCTACAACCTTTCGCTTGATCATCCTTGTACTGAAAAAGTTGCCTTCGAAACCTTTCTCCGGCCAAAGTTCAGTATGTGAATGTGAGTTTTCATCCTCCCAACAATAACGTCGTCAACGCCCTAGAGTCTGCCCCGTACCGTACCGCACGATTCATTCTGTACAATGATTCGCACAGCTCAAGCATCTCGCCGATAAAAAAAACGAGATTAGTTTATCTGATTTCACAAAGTGCTGCAAAGTCGCACGTCTTAACCTTCATCTTGAATTCTTTCATTTTTTGTCTTTAGATGACCCATGTGTCAGAAAAACCCACTGCATTTCCCGCAACTGTTATCTCATCATTTCATCATACGAACCATTAAATTGATAGCCTTTCTAGCACCCACTTCCTCATGTACTTTTTTTTTTATTTGAATATACTGCAGGCCCTTCACGGCCCAAGCAGGAGTGGGTACACAGATACATCAAAATACATACATTGCCAGAGAAAAAAAGAGAAAAAAAAAATGAACAAAAAAAAATCATGGTGCAAATTCAATACACTGTATGCGGTTGATGAAAGAGTCAATCGTACTACAACAAACAATGTCGTTGGGTAGGCTGTTCCAGAGGGAGATAGCCGACGGAAAAAGTGAATGTTTGTGAGCGTTTACACGACTTAAAGGTTGGCGTATTGTTTTAGAATGATTTAGTCGGAATGATTGTTTAGGCGGATCTTGCAGATAATGAGAGCGTGATATGTGGAAATGACCATGATATAATTGGTAAAGGAATTTTAATCGTGACATTATTCTGCGTTGAAAAAGTTGTTTTAAGTTTGCCCTTGCGAGTAAATCTGCGGTACTGGACTGCCTCGCGAATTCTGAATATACGAACCTTACTGCCAATTTTTGTATTCGTTCTATTTTACTAATCAGGTACTTTTGATGTGGACTCCAGATGAGATCGGCGTACTCTAAACATGGTCTAATTAGAGTTTTGTAGGCATTTATTTTAATATGTGGTGGTGCATTGCGCAGTTTTCTTCTCAAGAAAGATAACTTCTTTTCCGCTTTCTGACACATGGCCAAGATGTGTGGTTCCCAGTTAAGGTTCGGCGTGAGTGTAATGCCTAGGTATTTTACTTGATTGCATTTTTCGATAATTGAGTTTCCAATCCTATATGTATAGTTAAGGGGGGTTTTCTTATTTGTAAAAGAAATGCAATGCGTTTTTGATGTGTTTAGTTTCATGCCCCAAGTATTGCACCAGGAATAAATTGCCTGAAGTGAATTGTTAAGTTTAGTTTGGTCGTCTGTATTGCGCACGACTGTGTACACGACACAGTCGTCGGCAAACAGACGCATCTGAATAGGGTTCTCAACGGAAAAGTGGATGTCGTTAATAAACATTAAAAACAGCAGAGGTGCAAGAACCGATCCCTGAGGTACACCAGAATAAACATCAAGTGGTTCTGATAGCTGATTGTCAATTTTAACGCTTTGTTTCCGTTTAGTTAAGAAGTTGTTGATCCAGGATATTATTTTGATATCAATACCAAAAGCCGATAGTTTTTTGACTAAATCCAGATGTGGGACAACGTCGAACGCCTTAGAAAAGTCTAAAAATATAGCATCTAATTGGACGTTATCGTTGATTGCGTTGGCTATGTCATGAGTTAATTCAGCTAATTGGGTTATAGTTGAGAGGCCTGATCTGAAACCATGCTGTTGTTTGTAGAGAAGTTCGTTTGTTTCTAGGTGAGTTATTATGGCCTTGAAAATTACATGTTCCATTATTTTGCAGCACGAACTCGTAAGTGACACTGGGCGGTAGTTGCTTATTTCTAGTTTGGGGCCTGATTTATGTATAGGAACTACTACAGCATTGCACCAGTCGTCTGGTATTTGTGAAGTTTGAAGAGATAACGTGTATATTTTAAAGAGATACTTAGATGTCCAATTAGCGTATCGGCTTAAAAAAGAGTTAGTGATTTGATCGGGGCCAGTAGATTTCTTTTGATCAAGCTTTTGTAATAGAGAAAGTATGCCCTCCTCATTTACGATTAATTCTTCCATGGGTATTTTCACAGTATAAGGAGGTAGTAGCGCATTACTGGTATGTTTCGTGAAAACTGACTGAAAAAACTTGTTCATCTCATTAGCAATGTGTTCGGGATCTTTAATGATTTGTTCCGAATTTTTAATTTGTGAGATTGAGTCTCGTTCATCTGATAAGTATCGCCAGAATTTTTTGGGACAGTGCGCCATAAACGAAGCTAACGTAGTATTAAAGAAGCGGGTTTTTGCTTCTGACATTTTATGCTTTAATATCCCGATAAGATCACGTACGTTGTTTTTGGTTCCCTTTTTCTGCCGTCGTTTTATTTTTCTTTTCAGTTGAATTATTTCACGCGTTATCCAAGGGTATTCTCGGTTGATGCGTTTCTTTTTATTCGGAATGAATGTGTCTTCGCAATATTTAACAGTGCTTTTAAAATGCGCCCAAAGTTCTTTTACGTCTGTAAGCTCAATGAATTCATGAAATTGTGTTTCCAGGAAACGTAGCACAGCAGGGTCATTTGCACGTGCGTAATGTTTAAAGTAAGTAGGTAGTGGCTTTTTGTATTTCTTCGCGCATGAAATAGGGCAGGTTAAGGTAATCGATTTGTGATCGGAAATGCCATTCTCGATGGACGCAGAAGAACCTTCTAATGTACTACTTACAAACGCTAGGTCAAGTAAAGACGATGACGTCGCAGTGATCCGAGTGTTATCAGTTACTAGTTGATTCAATGAAAACGCGAACGCTACGTCCAGTAGTAATTCTGAACTAGCAACGTCACGACCATCATGTGAACCATTGTTCCAATTTATTCCGGGAAGATTAAAATCCCCAGCAAGGATAATTTTTGACCTAGAGTTAGTATGCTTTGAAAGATAATCATGAATCACTTCAATGTAGTCAGGTGTCGCATTTGGAGGCCGATATACCCCTCCTACAATTATACTTTTATCATAATATGTTATTTTGCACCAGACGCTTTCGTGGTCGGGAATGCCATCGAGTTCAAAGGATTTGATATTTTTTTTAATTGCTACCGCTACGCCCCCGCCTCTTGACCCTCTATCTTTACGGAGCAGTCTGTATGAGGGAGGGACGACTTCCGAGTCACGTACTCCGGAGTGAAGCCAAGTCTCTGTTATTATTAGAACGTGAGGTTGGTAGGACGAAATTATGTTCTCTAGTTCATCAAACTTGTTTAGCACACTTCTGGCATTGAGGGAAACGATTCTAAGTGTTTTAGTACTGTGCTGTCAGTTCGAGTTTTTCTTATTTGTAGAAGTTTTATGCGTAGATGAAGTTGGTCGGTTGTTTCGTGGTGGACCCGCTTTCTTCGATATATCTGTTCTAGCATTCTTTACTGGGTCCCAAGTATAAACTTTATCATTGACTTTCAGTTTATCGAACGACAGTTTGACTTTTGCTCCTTTGGCCCTTTCGT